CAATAAAATAATTATTGATCCATTTTAGCAAAATGTTATGTGAGATCATCTTAACCAACATCACGCTTGATTTATTTTCCGTACTTTCATGTCCAAAACCAGTGTCTCATTTACTCTTTGAAGACATTTTAACAAAGTCTGATTTCATGCAAATGACCATATTCCAAACTTAAAGTTATTTATTCATAATTATTAACGCTGAGTAATATGAAATTTAAATGACACGATTGTGTGTGTTTTTGTGCCTTTTTCCCAAAGAATTGCAAAACATGTGCAATAATAGAAATATAAATATTTGATAATAATTTGAATATTTTGTAGTGTGTTATGCATGATTTATTGTTAATGGAATAATAATTAAGTGATGAAATTTGAATTTACAATAAGGTAAATGTCAATTGTTTGAAAAGATCAAAAGATGTTAATTTGTTAAATTCGCCGAAATGTTTTTGGATATAAATTAAGAGGAAGTTTTAACAGGATTTTTAAATTAGCGTAGAAATTTGAATAAAATGCTCATTATTACGTCACAGTTTGAATTAATAATGTAAAGTGCGATCGGAAATGTCCAATTAAAAAATTCTTCCCTCAAAAAAAGGTATTTATTAATAAATATTTCACAAGCTTCAACTCTCAGCAAGCTTTAATAAATATTATTTACTAATGATTTAATCATATGCCTCTATATGCCTTAGTTAAATCCTAGGGGTGGCGAACAGAGCTATTACTGGTAAATTCGGAAAAATTTGAATATATTTTCAAAACACACTAACACTAGCATAAAATATTCGAATGTTAACATTGAAAATGTTTCATTGAAATTTGACTTAATTTCAACTAATTTTGTGTACAGGACATGATAAGTTGCTTAATGCAGCTTTAGTAATGATTAAAGGATGCTTTAAACAAGCTTTAAAGTATGATTTAATGGATAAATTGCAAAAATATTCAAAAGTACAATTTTGTTTGTGTTACTGTACCTTATGTTTCGAAATTCAAAATTTAAAAATTAACGGTAAAATAAGGTACCTTTCAAAATTCGTAATCGAAAAATAAGGACCATTCGCCACCCCTGGGTTAAATCATCTCACATTTTAGATTTTCTTTGCTGCTAATCTAATTTCTAAACCGATGTAAAAAAATGTTTGAAAGTTTATTTTTAACAGCTATACATGTTTATTAATGGTCAATAATAGTACACAACCGACAGCTTTAATAATTATAATACAGAAATCGCTAAGAATGCTAATTAAGCTACAAGGCAGCAGCTGTGAGAAATTTCATTTTCTATGCTCTATTTTTACATAAATCTTTAGTTAAAGGCGAAGCATTTTAAGTCAAATAAAAATCTGTCAAGAAGTAATCAGTCATTAGTATAAATATTGACCATTACTCGATCTACTGAGTATATTAATAGGTGGGTGGATGCGATAATTTATTCAGTTACAAGATTGTAAGAAGCAACACGACATATTCTCATATTTCATGCTTAGGTAGCGAAAAATTGTATTTTTGTTTTACTCAAACTGATTATACAGCCTGCTGTACTACACATTGTATTTTATTTATACTTGAGTCAATTCTACGTTAATAGTGTAATAACATGATTGTTTAACTTCTTTTCTTCATCCAGATGGATCGTAAAGAATGAAAATTAAAATTTACTGCCATTTACTGTTTACCAGCAATGCTATAGACAATCAAAAAATTGAAGAAGCAATCAGACAGCAATAAAAGCCTCTAAAATTACTATTACCGTTAATATTTCAGCTACTTATCATTGCATTTTGTATATCAAATAAAACCAAATGCTGCACGGTAATGACGACGATGGAATTTACTTTATGGAAGTGGTTTTTGAGATTTAACGACCAAGATGAGAAAACTGGTTTTAGATGAAAAGTAAACAGAATTTTTCTGAAGATAAATCAATAAAAGAACTTCACTTGAATTGTTCAGCTATAGTTTGACTGTCAAAACATTAAGTCATAACAAAGGCATGCGCTTTTGTTCGTCACTTGATGCCATGAAACTCACACGATTATGCAATCGAAAGGCATTTTTTAAAATATTTGTGGAATTTCTCATCACATTCAATACTGTAAGACGCATTTATATAAATCATCATTAACTTTTCCTATCAAGACTCACTTAAATCCATTCTACTAATCCGTTCTATGCTTCAACTAGCTTAGGGGAATGTTTGGAAATGACGTCAAGTAGACAATTGACTGCATATCTACAAATCTTGACCATCAGCTTAAAAACAAAAATAGTAGACGTCATAAGTGAACGACACCTTATCTTGAATTCTTCATGTATGTATCTCTATGAAGATATTGTGTGTATGATTGATAACTCTACATCAATAACTGTCATGGAGATAGCTAAATAATGTTTACAACTTGCCTCGCTACCATGAATCAACGATAAATTACTCAACATCGCACCAATTGCAAGTTGTAGCTCTACAATTTTCCCATTAGATGCACTTTAATCGGTAATTTCCGTAAAAAAAAGAGTGGAGCGAACAAGAGAAACATGAAAAATCAATCTTGATTAGTTTACACGTGGAAATTGAAAGAACAAGAAAGTGTTATTATGTAAAAAATTATGAATGCAGATGTAATATTGACTTTAATTTTAATTTAATATACAGAAAAAAAATTGATTCTATCAGTGTAATAACAATTTATGATATTTTATGCGTGAGCGAGGCATAAAGTGAGTGCTACAGGTGTTAAGGTATCAAATGATTTATTATAATGTTGTATTGCAAGTTCATCGAACTATAAAGTTCTATCATTTCTTTCATTTTCTTCTGTTTTTAATCTTCTGATGTTATTTATTTATAAATTTATAATAAAGTCTATATAAAGCGAGAGAAACTTCTTCCTTGACCGTCAAGATATGTGGCATCTTTCACAAATAACGTCTAACGAAAAATCTGCATATTAAATGCCAAACAGCTTTAGAACCCCTCAGTGGATAGGAATTGAAACATCATTTATTCACAATCCACTAAGGTAAACACGCTGTAGAATATCATTTCGATACAGGAAAGTAAAAAAGATCATGAAACGCATGAGAGGGAATGTGCGAGTGTGGCTTGCTCCACTTGGCATCAGAAACAGGAAATTTGCTTAAATTTTCAATCTATATGATTTTATTTTTGTATTTATGTACACAAGCTACTCCATTCATTCATTCATCAGTTATGAATCTCTTTTTTTCACCAACGTGTCGTAACAATTTTTTTATGACTTTCACATTGTACACATGTTGTAGCATCTCGTCTCGCCAGAGAGTAGTTGCGTTTTTTTTTTGTTTTTGCATGAAGCGTAGAGAGTGAATCTCTTGATTGCCAATTTTTCAACGCAATGTAATTTAATTTATGCTTTATTTTCTGCTAAAAGATTTTAACTACATGATGAGGAGTCATTAAAGAAGATAATTCAACATTTCCATAATCAATTGATTTAAAAAGCAAAAAAGAAAGATTGCGCTTCAGAAAATGTCAAAAAGTTTTATTTATTAAGCCATCGCATGAGAGTAAGATGTCAAGTTGGAGTGCTTGTTATGCGCTTTTATTAAGGAGATGAGGGTTTGACAGAATTTTCGATGAAAGTTGATTGAAGGTCATAGAAATGTTATTTCTGGTCTGTTAGACTAGAGAGTTATGTCTATTTCATCTTTGTAATTGGAGAAAAACTTGATTAATTCAATTTAAAAATTTTATAAACACTAGATATTAATTGTTCATCTTACAACAACTAGTCTGCAAAAGTAACGAATACAGATGCACTTTTGGACGAAATTGAACCCTAGGGGTGGCGAACAGATCTATTACCGCTAAATTCGGAAAAATTTTAATATATTTTTAAAATTCACTAACACAAACATAAAATATTCGGATGTAAACATTGAAAATGTTTCATTGAAATTTGATTTAATTTCAACTAATTTTGTGTACAGGACATGATTAGTTGCTTAATGCAGCTTTAGTAATGATTAATGGATGGTTTAAACAAGCTTTAAAGTATGATTTAATGGATAAATTGCAAAAAAATTCAAAAGTACAATTTTGTTTGTGTTAGTGTACCTTATGTTTCGAAATTCAAAATTTAAAAATTAACGGTAAAATAAGGTATCTTTCGAAATTCGTAATCAAAAAATAAGGACCGTTCGCCACCCCTGGATTGAACCAAAATATTCAATGTGTCTCAATTAAAAAACTCAAAGACAACTTTAAATTCAGACGCTTTAAAAACCGCAATATTATTTTGATCCCTTGTTTAATGCACCATTATATCATAAGCTGGTACAAGTCGAACATTAGTTTGGAACATGCAAAAGACAAAATGATTTACAGCAACTTAAAATTTTACACAAAATATTGTTAAAATCAAGTCTACGTAATTATCGTAAATCACATTTTGCGATTTCTCAAGCAGTTTAACATGATTCACATGACGACGGCAATTTTGTATTAAAATGTGATGTCAGTATTAGCATGAGACATTTCATCGGAAGAAAATAATGATAAAGAAACACAACTTTTGAAGTGGATATTTCCTATTATTCACAAAATTATACGATTAAGTTATTATCCATTGAAATTTTCATCTTAAATCGATCATTGCGTAGATATATCTTATAAACAGGACATGATCATTCGCATATGCTGATAACTAAACGATTTTCTGAAGAGATTAAATTGAGACCAACGCAATGATATAATTAGCATGTTAAATATGCATTGGAAGTATGTTATTCGCACAATACTATGCGTGCATGGATTTATCTAATTAATTTCATTTAATGATATTATGAATTGAGGCAATTATATGCTTTTTTCTGCATATATTTAGTATGGTCATTAATCGCAACTTTATTTTCCTTGTTATGATTAATAGACTTATTAGAAGCAAGTGATAGAAACGAGGAAGGCTGACTGCTTACTCTTTTTTGCTATTATAACTTAATTACTTTTAACTTACCTTAAAATTATGATTTCTGGCAAGCTGATGGTGATTGAAATTCCTTAACAATCGTAATACGAAACAAAATGACGTTAATTTGATGCTCGTTATTGCTGAACGATCTGTAATTAAAAAGAGAATAAAAACAAATTGAGTTATGGCTATTAATTTATAATATTGTGGGATAAATCTTTAAACACAAAAAAATAGTAAATAAAGAGATTACTCGCAAAGGATGTATTCAAGTAAGGTGTTTGTTATGCAGGTGTTTGTTTTTGGCATTTTGCCATTTTGATTAGTCAATAGACGACCTGTCTATTGAACATCTTTAGTAAATGACCCCAAAATTAAACGAGACATAAAACGTTTTTTAAGAGGTATAAAAAAACTTTCCGAACATGAATGAGTCATCGCTCGTAGAAAAAATTAAAAATAAATCTCTAGAGAATGCCCTACGAAACGTCGTTTTCGCTCTATTTTTCCCTCTTTATAGATTTTTTTTTTCTCAAGGTTTCCATTAAGACTTCGATTATGAAAGTTAATATGTTGAGAATATCAAAAGAATTTTTTTTTCAGCTCTCGTAAGAAGCAAATCTTATTAAAGGCATACATGTGCTAATTCAACGCTACGAGATCATGATACAAATTGAATTGGAGATGAATGATCGAATGGATTAGCAAGATAACCATTCATAACGAAAAAATTAATAATAAGATTGCCATTCATAATGTAAAAGGAGATTTAAGACTTCAATTAATACCGTTTTAAATAATAAGAATTAAATCGTCAGTTTCTAATTCCAATTGAATTTTGCATGAGAAAAAGTTTTTTTTCTATCCGAAAATAACTTTCATTCATTCTAGCTAGATTAATGTGAATATTTTTTATGCATGATTTCCCAAAATATCAGATGTTAAGTGATTAAAAGAAATTTTCGAATATTTATTTCTAAATCATGCTGAAACTTGTTTAAATTACTTCCTTTTACCTTAAGTTATGGCTATAGAATTCCAACGATGATGATATTGACGGGTTGCAATTTTTTGCTGCTTAACAGTTTAAGTTTTTGATTTAATCGTACTTAATATTGTAGACAGAGTTGAAATGTGTTTTTTGAGAATTTCACAATAAGATAACTGCGATCAAAAAATAAGAATTTTTCATTGAAATTAATTTGAACAGAATTTAACAGTTGGAAACAGCAAATTGCAAAGAATCAACTCTGCCAACTGACTCCAAAGGCGATGAACCCGTTTAATAAAGATTTTATACACTTAAAAGTTTCAATTTGATTCTCATGAGAAAATAATATGATCCATAGAGACATATCAAATGTACATGAATGACAAGAGGAATAGAAAGGAAGACAACTCAAATCATTTTGACAGTTGACAAAGCGAAATAAGTAAATTAAGAATCCAGCAAAAAAAGATCTCAAATCAAGATTGTGAGAACAAGGAAGTCTCAATTCAAAGCACATCATTCATTATCGATGAAATCTCATTGAAATTCAATTTGAATTGTGATAAAATTTCTTCTTTGCCACTCTTTATTCCGCTTTCATTTCATTATTTTTATTCATTAAGACACAACAATTGATGTTGCAAGTTATAACTTTGCAAATCACCACTCCATGAACATTTCCAGTCTCTCTCTAGCTCTACAATTCTCTTAAAATTCAATGTTCATTTATTTTATTCATGTTCATTCGATTTCATAATTACATTATATCATTTAAAAAGCTGTCGATTTTGCCACGTATTGTATTATAAGTTTCATTAAGAAATTTTCCATCGTCATCGATCGACTTTGTTGGTGGTCAGCATGTGATCTTTTTTATCAATATCAATTAGAATGCCGTTGAGAATAAGTAACTGACCTGGATTTCAATCTCACTCATTCAATGGAGTTTTATTTAGAGTCAATTAGTGAACTAATTTTTGTTTTTCACTGAGATGATGTGACGTTGATCATCAATGTATTGAGAATGTTCCGATGAAAAATATAAATAATCAATATCCATTGTCGTGATTCACGCATTAAAATTAAATTTGATTACTTCTCCTTCAAGTGCCTATTTTCGATTTGTAGAAGCTTAAAAAACATTCGTTTAAGATCTGGGAGATAATGCCTTCGGGCAGGTAGTAGTCACTTAAGTAGCTCTTGCTGAAAAATTCTTAAGCAAGTTGAATGTCTCAAGGTCTTGTCTACAATAATCATGTTCTGTGTAATAAATGAACAATCGATTGTATATTTTCTTCTTTTAGTGCTGGGGATGGAAGTAATTCTTGTTAAATTCAAATTGATTTGGGTTAATGAAAAATTTGCATACTCAGCTTGACAAACTTTATTGGCGACTTAAGTCTACATTTTTTAATAAGAATTTCTGTTCTTGAAATTTGCAATAGTTTCTAGATCTACATTTATTACTTCCTTATTTTAGTGACTTGATCAATAAATAGATGCAGATGCAATTGGGATTTAAAAAGTATTTTAATATCTCGAGCTCTTAAAATAAATGCAAATTCAGCAACAAAGATAAAGAAGCTGTTTACTGGATGTTAAGTACATAATTGAACTGATAAGAATCTTTGTCAATAAAAATAAGCTGTAGCTATAAAATTAAGCACTGGCAAACCCATACCAACAATATCCAACTCTCCATCGACACACATCAAGCTTATGTCCAACCCCTCGTTTGCAAAACTTATTAAATCAAACTATTAGCAGTGATTTGTTTGTAAATAATTTTCATTTTTGCCTGTCATAACAATTATGGGCTGTTGTAGGCAGCAGAATTAAGAAGAAAGCCATAATAAATTTATGATGCTCGAAAACAATTCGAAAGTTTTGCTTCTCTCGATGCCGATGTATGAAAAACTGTGTCATCACACACATTCATTAATTAAATTTTCTTCTTGCATATATGCTTGTTTTTCGCAATGAGTGAGTTATTTTGTGTACATAAATACACAATAAAAAAATTAATAGATTAAAAGAGTTTGGCACATTCATGACGATCACGAGATTTAGTAAAAAAAAGCTGAGATTAACGAAACGAAAACAAGTCAAGTTGACTCCAACAGTTATCTAAAATGAAAATCACCAGAAGCAGCAACAAGTAGATAAATACAGTTATGATACTTTTCAGTAGAATTAGAGTCATCATTTTAATCATCATGCCAGCTAACCGCATGAAATGTAATGAGTAAAAGAAAACATTTTCTAATGCACGCGTAGCTTACAAGCTAATTTTATTTTTTGGGAGCTCTTATTTCAGTTTCACTTGCTGCTTTAAATTAATCGACACGTAATTAAGATCATCTTTGCAAAATGATATTAATAAGATTTGGCATTAATCACATGAAGCTGAAATTATGAATTAAAGTATAATAATGAAAAATCAGTCCAATCCGCAAAATTGTTCCAATATTGATCAGGTTTATTGGCTTATTATTTTTTTTTTGATGTTAAGCCACAAAAAAAATTAAATTAAATTTCACTTATGGATGAATTTTCACTTTTCAACCACCCCGATTCGTGAATTGTGGTGAGAAAAAATATGAAGAATTGCTGATTGCTTATCATCAGCACAACTTTCATTACTTATGAGTGAATCTTTATTGATTGAAAAGTTGTCAAAATCAACTTTCGTTGTTAAGCTCAGAGTTGGGTCTGTTTCGTGTTTTATGGTTACTTGGGTCTATTCGTGTCAATTGCATGATGATGAATCTGTTTCAGATGTCAAACTGTACTGAGAGATAAGGGGCCGTTCACTTATTACGTATACGCAATAAAACGACTTTTTCACCCCCCCCCCTTCCGCCCCTTGTTACAATATGTTACAACTCATACCCCCCCCCCCCCCCCCCCCCTGAACGTTCATAATTTATTTTATTTTGATAATTTTTTATTCTAAAAAGACGGTTAAATTTCTTTTGTATTGTTTTTCTTAAACATCAAAATACTATACAGCTAAATAGGTCATGTTTTGATTGATACTATTAGTATTCTCATGAATTATTGGATTGTGATATAAAGCAAAAAAATTTTTTTTTTGAAGAAAATTCAAAAATGTCATGAAAAATATTATATATGCACCCCCTCCCCCCTATGTTACATTTGGTTACAATTTTTCAAAAGCCCCCACCCCCCTAAAATGCGAACGTAATAAGTGAACGGCCCCAAATAAATAATAGGTAAGATTGAGAAGTTTACCATCCAGGAACTTCAGTCGTTAAAGACTTGTGAAAAACTATCCTAAAAGTCAACGAATATACTTAGAAGATACTGCTGGAACTACTTTGATGAAGAGGAATCTTAAACAGGTATTTTCTTACACACTAATCAACAGCACCTCCAACCAACTCTGCCTCATCCATGAACCTTAAAGCAAATAAACTTTCTCAATAATAATACAAAAAAATAATGAAATGCATATTGGAAATGTAATGGAAAGTTGCACAATCACAGTTTTTCACGACTTATGGAAATGCCTTTTTTGCATCATTGAATCATTGTTTTTGTTTGATCGCGTAAATAAATATATTTACATACATTCCTTGCACGTTTTTGTGACACTTGGTATTATGAATTATTACAATGTTAATTCAAAATAAATAGATTCACGTCTCATAAATCTTAAATTGGAACGAAGCAAATGGAGCAACAGCAGCAAAATACCATTTGTGTCCAACTTACACACTCATATAATAAAAAAAATGGAATTCCATTGCTTTCCTTCATAAATAAAGTAAAACACATACAGCAAGGCATGTACGAGAAGAATTCTCAACTCTTCGGCAAAGAATGGACACGGTCTGATAAAAAAAGAGCTTTTTGCCGTCTGATGGCGAAAAAAAGAAAGTTCATGAGAATGAATAAATATAATTTCATTCCAGTTATGTTACGAAGGCATTAACTAAAGCAATTAGTAAATTTTTTTTTTCGATATCTCAGCACCTCTTAACCATCAGACCGATAATAAAGACGTGTACGCATATTTTTTTATTCACTCGTCTTGTCTTTATGAAATCCAGCATTACTTTCACATTTCTCTCTTTCTCCTGCCTGCAAACTCTGCATCGTGATAAAGATAAGAAAATTATTTAATATATCCTC